AATAGTTTTTTTAAATGTAAGTATTAAGAATTTTCTCAGTAGTATGTAGTCCTAAAGTTTTAGTACCACGCTAGACGCTCCTCGAAATGCATACAACGAAGCGCGGCGGGTGCCAGTGACTTGATCCTTCATCTCGTTGATCCTTGTTATCCTCAGGTTTGCGCGCACCGCCTATATGAACGCACACGCATACCTGACTGTGTTATTATCAGGGATGAATAACTAGAATAGATTCGTTAAAAAGACTCATACTCATTAGAAGATCCATCTTGCATACTTAGGAGGCGTCCATTAATCACGTGATCGACTTTTTAAGGATTTTTGGACTCTCCCTCCCCTTTGCTGATACGTAGTGATATTCAAAATTACACCCCCTTCCCGCACCAAACATCACGTGTATTTTTAGTTACGCGAAAAATTGTATTTGTTTTTTAAATTTTATTTGAAAATGGTTGAATTTAAAAAATAAATCAGACAAAAAATATATACAAGTGATATCTTACTATACCCCTCCCTCCCCCACGTGATATTTCGTGATTCTTTGATAAACCCCCCCCTCCTCCAAAAAAACTCATGTGATTAATGGATCCCCATCCTTATGAAATGTGGACATTAGGGTTTATGCAAAAACCGACATTTTAGAAAACCGGTTTTCGAATTGTAAATATTATATAAATTAAATATTATTTAATTAATATTAGGGGCCGTACAAGTATTACATAAGCACTATAGGGGGGCGGGGGGGTTATTGATATCTTATTTTGGGTGACATTTTGGTGACAGATTTGCTTACTTTTGCTGACAAAGGGGGGTGTGGGGTAAATAATTGTACTAAATCTGCTTGCGTAATGCTTGAACGATCCCTTATATAAAAAATCTATTTTTGATCGAATATTCTGTAGCACCAGAAAAAAATATCAGCAAATTTAGTGTGAATTGAAGCAGTTTTTGGCTGATTTTATTTAATGTTCAATTCTATGAATAGTAAAGGAAATTATTTTAATTTTAATTAGTAGAACAAAGAAATAATAGTTGATCTGGATTAAATAATTTTGAAAATGATTAAACGTTATTCATGCATCATTTTGACATGTGAGAATATAAATATTTGTATGATAGTGAAATAAAAGTTCGAACAAATGAAAATAATACATTTTTAAATAAAAATACTTATAACTTTCAATTACATAAAAAAAATTAGATTCATATTGATACATACTTGTTAATGTCAATTTTAGTTCTAAAAACAATTAAACAAAACCCCGAGTTTATTCTATTACGAACAATTTTATATAATTAATTTCAAATATTTATTAATTTTTTGGTTTAATGCAATATAAAAGCTGAGGACGCCTATAGATTTGTTATTTAGAAGTGTCCTGAAAATTTTGTTCTTTTATTTGTGGCTTCTGGGGCTAAAAACTCTGTTTTTAAAGTTTGAGTAGAACAATTTACTCCTTCAACAAGAAGTCGCATTGATCTAAATTAATATATACATTGATAATAATCTAAATTAATGTCAGTGGCATTACTAGACCCTCCGGGGCCCGTGGCAAAGTATTCCGATGGGGCTCTATCGTGGTACTCAATTTTTAATTTATGTAATTTTGTTTAAAAAACGTTAATAGTCATTTACATGCTGTTTTACTACTTGCTACAATATTTTTAATGAATTTTATCACAATTAGAAAACCAACTTCCACTAATTTAGATTTTATGGCATATTGAAAAAAAAGTGAAATTATAAAAAGGTAGAAAAGCAAAGTATTGATTTAGAGGTATAATTAACTTCCCGAAGGAGAAGTTTATGTTTTCATCAAAAAATCCGAATCGCTAATTTTATGTTTTCTCGACGTTTCGAGCCATTCTGAATCGAATGAGACCAAATTTGGAAAAAGTATGTGTGTGTTGTGTGTTGTGTGTTGTGTGTGTGTGTATGTGGTGTGTGTGTTGTGTGAACAGATTTTTTGCCGTAAATCGACGTTTTCTCCAAAACGGTTGGACCGATTTCAAAAATTTAAAAGCCATTTGATGTATCTCGATGAGGCTATCGTCTCTGAGTTTTGTGCGGCGATCGGCCGGGCCGTTTCTTTGTAAATTGCAGAAAAGTGAAAAATTTTTCGTCCACGTTTTAGCCCGCAATTCTGAATCGATTCTGAAAATTCAAAAACCGTTCGATAGATATTGGTTGGGAATCGTGCTGATTAGTTTTTGGTAAAGATCGGCCGGGCCGTTTCTTGTAATAAAGTTTAAAAAAAAAAAATTTTGACAATTTTTATGATTATTTTTTTGACGATAGATACCACAGTCTTCTAGGTCATACTAAAATATTACGGCCCTACGACAACTGGTTCAGCTTTAAAAATTCGTCAAAGTTTGCAAAAAATCAGTATGGTCTTTTTGGCATTTGTCAAAATTAGACTTTTGATCGACGTTTCTCAAAAACGCCTGAACCGATTTTAGAAATTTAAAAGCCATTTGATGTATTTCGGTGAGGACTATCGTTTGTTAGTTTTGTGGCAACGAATCTGCCAAGCCGTTTCTTCGTAATTTGAAAAAAGCGTTGAACTTTTCGTCCACATTTAAGCTCATCCTACCGAACCGATTTTAAAAAATCAAAAACTGTTCAAAAGATATTAGTTGGGAATGATGCTGATTAATTTTAGGTGAAAATCTACCGAGCCGTTTTCTTGTAATTAATGTTGAAAAAAGTGTTAAATTTTCGTCCACATTTAAGCTCATCCTACCGAACGATTTAAAAAAATCAAAAACTGTTCGAAAGATATTAGTTGGAATGATGCTGATTAATTTTAGGTGAAAATCTACCGAGCCGTTTTCTTGTAATTAACTGTTGAAAAAAGTGTTAAATTTTCGTCCACATTTAAGCTCATCCTACCGAACCGATTTTAAAAAATCAAAAACTGTTCGAAAGATATTAGTTGGGAATGATGCTGATTAATTTTAGGTGAAAATCTACCGAGCCGTTTTCTTGTAATTAAATGTTGAAAAAAAGTGTTAAATTTTCGTCCACATTTCAGCTCATCCTACCGAACCGATTTTAAAAAATCAAAAACTGTTCGAAAGATATTAGTTGGGAATGATGCTGATTAATTTTAGGTGAAAATCTACCGAGCCGTTTTCTTGTAATGAACTGTTGAAAAAAAAAATTGAAGCCGATTTTCATGGAACTTTTTTTGGCGATATACATCATGGTCTTATAGAACTTACTGTAATGCTACGGCCTTACAACAAGTAGTTTAATTTTAAAAATTCGTCAAACTTTGCTAGAATTATTATCGTTTTTTTTTTTAAGTAGGATTGATGAAGTATATTATTTACACATTTTTTTGATCAAGTCGATTATTTACACATATCGGGAAGTTCATGTAATTTGCCTCAAGGCTAAATACCAAACCAACTAGTTATAATTTAGTTGTAATTATATAAAAATAACAAAAAATACATAAAATTTAATTTTTCTTGAAAATCAAACATTAAATATTCGTGAATATTTTCAACGTTAGAATAAATGGTAATTAATATTAAACCTATTTTTTAATAAAAGTTAAGAAAATACCACTATCTTCAATTTAATTATTACATAACCTTCCATTAACAATTTCTTTTTTTTTTACTGTAATTAATTTTATTGATTAAGTAGTGACGTTCGATCTTTATGAAAGTTTATGATTTAAACAATACCCGGGTATTGTAAAAATCGTGTAAAAGGTATTTTGGACGATATATTTCTTTTAATTTGTATTGTATATTTTTTAACGAAGATGAAGACATTTGTCATTTAGCTTCTTCTTGAAGAAACAATAGTTAACCCTACACCTATTCAAAATGAAACAAAACTAAAATGTTAACTTCCATAAGCTATTTAGTAAATAAAATCTTTTGTTACTGCTTTCAGTTGCGTAAAAGTGTCTACTATGAAGAATTTCCTATTCCGCCTCTGAAAATTAATCGAAAACTAAATTTCCCTGGCAAATGATTCAGAATCTGAACAAAAGTTTTTTTATGGTACTAATCTATTAAAGTAGCTACCGCCGTATCAGCTGTATCTTCTATTCTTCTAATTTCACGTATTTTTATATTTTGAGATAAAAAATTTCTTCTTAAGGGCGGCCCCCCCAAACAAATTTTCATACGAGGCCCCGCGAAGGCGTAGTCCTGATATTGAGAAAAGAGTTTCTCACGTGTTCGTTTTTTATCTTAAAAGCCGTTAACGTTTAAGTTATTATATATACAATAATAAAT